GAGAGAGGGTGAAGGGAGGGCAGGGACAAGGGGAAAAAATGAGAATCAAGACCTATTATGTAAAGGTACAGAATCCCAATGATGAATGTAACTGTATTGTATATCTAGATTGTACCAATAAATTCAATAACAAAACAAAAAACAAAAAAAAATGTGGTAACTACAAAAATTTAATTAACTTTTCTGGCTTGCATTATTTTTAGCTAGCTTCCTGCTACATGTTTAAGATCATTTATTTATTTGTTTTGAGTCTTGGCTCTATGTCTTACTAGATGATGACTTTGGGCGAGTTTCTTACACTCTCTCAGTCAATTTCCCCTCCTGTCAGTTAGGACACTGGTATATGCTCTGTGCATTTGGTGGTGAGAATTAGCCAGTGTCCGTATGGGACACTTCCTTTAAAGTGCCACTCCCTTACTTGGATCAACTTGTTTGTGGTAAACAAATTAAAAATGGAAAACCCCTCCATTTACTGATAGTGGAAAGCATTGAAACATATTAATCTCTGGGCAAAAGAAGAATGTGTCTTTGAGCCACAAAACTCCAAGTGATTCTTTTTCTCTGAGAGGAGAATGTACAACATGGATATGATGATCATAGTTGTTTGATAATTTCTGAAATGAAAAATACTTTAGCAAGCTGGGACTTTGCTCTCCACTGTTCCTGATGAGTGTATATACAGCCCTGGTTTCCGTGTGTGTGTGTGTGTGTGTGTGTGTGTGTGTTTGTGTGCATAAGGCAGATCTGCTTGTGTATGTATAGGTGGGGAATAGAGCAGACTAGTGTTATTTATTTTTGTTTTCTATAGTTATCTATTGTGTAATTTATCCTCTATAATAACATAGAAATACATGCATTAGATTTTAAACTTTAAAGTCCCAATGTTATTGCAAAAAAACTTATTTTAGAACTTTTATACTTACGTAAACCTAATGTAATCATTCATTTTCAAATTGGCCCTTCCTTCTGTGAACAAAACCATTTGGAAGTTTTTGTCTTCAGGGGTGATCAGCCATTTCCCTGAAATCCTATATGTAAGTAAGACATCAAAGTGAGTTTAAAAACAAAAATGTGTGCTCTACAACCTATATAAAGTCATGTTGGTTTTACCCCTTCACTTCCTACAGGCCTCCAGGTAACCCCTTCCAACCTCTTCTAGTTGATTGCTGCAACTATGGAGGAGCCCTGGTTCTTACTCCTCATCACCACTTGGCCGCCCACCATGTGGCAGGAAGGATGGCTGACCTGGGCCATCAGAGAGCTCTAAGATACAGTGGAAAGCAGGATGGATTCTTCAAAATGTAAACATTGAATTACCATGTGATCCAGTACTGCTGCTGCTACATATAAAAGAATACATATGGCGCATGCTTAAATTAAAAAAAATACAGTAAAAGATACATTACCAAGAATGATGGGCTAAGTGGGTTCAAAGTGAGGGGGGAGTATTTTGAGGGGGATTAATGGCAATGTGTCTTTTGCTGTAGATATTTTAATTTAACCATTCACCATATTACTTGATCGCCTCCAACTGATCAAGTATTTATAGCACTTTCTGTCAAATAAGCATATCCACCTATTCACTGGATCTAGCACTGTGTGACTTCTGGCTCTTCTCCAAAGTCAAAATGACCATGAAGGGTAAGTGTCTTGAATCAATTCAGGACATCAACGCAGCCATGACAGCACAAGTAGAGACATTCTCAAAAGAGAACTTTCAAAATTGCTTCAGAAAGTGGCCCGAATGATGGAACAAGTATGTTCAAGGTGAGAGGTAGTATTTTGAAGGTGACTAATGGCAATGTGTCTTTTACTGTAATAATTTTAGAATTTAAAGTATTTACCATATTTTTGTTACACCGCATATAGTAAAAAAAATTGAAAGCAGCAACTTGAAGAGAGATTTGTTCACCCAAGTTTATAGCAATATTATTCACAAAGCCAAAAGATGAAAAAATATAAATATCCATTGATGGATGAGTGGATAAGCAAGGTGTGGTAAATGCCTACACTGGAATATGATTCGGCCTTAAAGGAAGGATATTCTGACACATGCTATACGTCAAAGAACCTTGGAAATATGGTAAGTGGAACAAGTGAATCACAAAATAACACATATTGTAAGCTTTCACTTACAGGCAGGATCTAGAGTATTGAAATTCACAGAGACAAGCAGAATGGTAGTTGCCAGGGACTGAAAAGAGGAAGAAATGGGGAGTTATGATTAGTGGGCAGAGCTGCAGCTTGAGATGATGAACAGCTCCAGAGGTGCATGGTGGTGATGGTTGCACAACTACGTGAATGCAGTTACTTCCACTGACTTGTACCCTTACAGATGGTTAAAGTGGAACGCTTCTGTGGTGTATATTTATTTTACCACAATAAGAAAAGCACCTAGATGATAATGAATTTATGTGACATGTAATGCCACTTGCATGCAGTAGAGGGGGAGAGGGATTTAATATCACCGAAGCTCTATTCATTCAGTGTACTCCCACAGCCGATTCTGACCCTGACAGTGACACACCTGCAGCTCTCCAGAAGGTGCCAGTCCCTCGGTAAGAACTGTTATCTCTGTTTGTTGCAGTATTTGTGAAAAAGAAATAAGGGTTGCATGAGTATCATCTAAAAAGGAGAAAATTTGGATTTATAAAGATGGCAGGAAAGCAGACTTCCTCAGATTTTTTGGTATGCATTACTTTGCCTAAAGATTAGTGATCAGTGATCCACGGAGCTATTGATCTGAGCCATTATCCTGCAGATGCTTGCGGGTCTGGGTTTCTTTCACTGACTGCAAGTTAACCTCATCAGCTGATCCAGCGCGGATGGTCCCAGGCATGATAATGAGTTTTTTTCCTAGCTTTTCTTTGCCACTGAGCCATGTTAACAACACCTGCTGGATGAGATTTGTGGCTGAAGCACGTCTGTTACCCCCTCCAACAGTTCTGCATTTGCGGTTTGTGTTTGAAAGTTGGAATGGGTAGATGGATCTTGTAGAATAGGGCTTCTTCCTTCAGAGGTTGTTAAAGAGCGGCTGCTGTTGAGTTCGGTTCCCAGCACTAGGCACTGAGTCCTAGAAGAGCTTTCTCACTGACTGCCTGTGTTTGAACTATTAGGGACGTGTGCACCTTGAGTTTTGCTTTGATTCCTGTGAACTTGGAACTCTCTTGACAACATATTTACACATAGGGGTGTCTCTTGAGCTTTGTGGCACTGAGCAGTGTCCCACTGCAGCTGCACAGCATCTCAGAGAAGAGGACATGGGGCTGGGAGGAAGGAAGAGGCCACTGTGGCAGCCGGCCAGGTCAAAGACACAACTTGGCCATCATATTCTCAGCCATATTTCAAGGTCTCATCTGCCTTCGATTTGGGTTTAACTACCATTCAGAAGGGACCAAGTGGTTCTGAGTTTAAATTCCTTCTCCACTGCTTATTCACTTGGCCAAATCTGGGTTTTATCTCCTTCATTTGTAAAACAGGAATAATAGTAGCCACTATTTTGTTGGATTGTTATGAGGATTAAATAGGATATTGTATAGAAAACATGTAGCTTGGAGCTGGGGATTTAGCTCAGTGGTGCTGCTGCCTGCCTCGCAAGTGCGAGTTCCCGAGTTCGAGCCCCAGTATCAAAACAAAACAAAACAAAACAAAAAACCAAAAACATTTAGCTCTGTGCTGGACATATAGGAAATGCTCAAAAAGTAGTGTTCTTATTGTTATGTTACAAAGGTTATTCAACATTCAATGAGTTTTTAAAGCCTTCCTCTATCTCTTGGCATTATTGGGAAAAGAGAAATTCCTAGGTAATGAAATATGCATTCTTCAGCAAATCACCAATTGCCATTTTGTGGTGTCTTTGGACTTGGACTTTTAAACTACAAGCTATTCAGGAAAGTCTTTTCTTTCTTTCTTTCTTTCTTTTTTTTTTTTTTTTTTTTTTTTTTTTTTTTTGCTTTTTCATCTACTTTCAGCATAGCAGTAAAATAATAGTAGTACACTGTATGCATCTCTCATCAAAAGTTTATATCCCATTGTTTAGAAAATACCATCGTACACATTCATTGCCTGAGAGAGAAGACCTTATTTTCACTTTCTTATATTAAGTGAAGTTCAAAAAGAGTTCCTTTCTTGTTCCAGTTCCAGAAATAGCTGTGGTATTGGGCAGGGGAAGAAATGAGTAAGAGATGGAAACTCTGATATCTTAACTTGTGGGGTTCCATAGAAAGCAACTGGGCTAGATTCTGCTGCCCTTTTCAAGGGCTAAGGCTCCCATGCCTAGAGATTAAAAATAAAGAACCTGCTCTGTGAGGTGGTAGCACAAAATCACCTTTATCAATGTAACGATTACAATTGAGGGGGGAGAAGGAGACCTGCCAAGCCATACTGGAGCCTGAGGCTGAAGACAGATCTTGTAATGCTGATCCTATCAATGACTATATATATATTTTTGGCAGTACTGGGATTGAACCCAATGCCTTTGCACAGAGCCACATCCTCAGCCTTTCCTTATTTAATTTGAAACAGGGTTTCAGCAAGTCACTCATTGCTCAAACTGGGCTCAAATTTGCAATCCTCCTGCCTCAGGCTCCCAAAGTGCAAACATTTTTTAATATTTGTTCGACGGGGATTTTCACATTACTTTAGATTTTTAAAATATTTCATTAAAACATTATCTTGATTACTGATTTTCTTGTTCCACTCTTAAAATTTGTGCCTTACTTGCCTTGTCTTGGGCCTGATAACTGCTACCTTTATGTGTGTAAGCTAGGCATGACACAAAGTAATTGTATACATCGTCTATTTTGTGCTTCTGCATAAGCTCCATTTAACAGATAAAACTAAAGCTTTCAGAGGTTAAATAAATGGTCCAAGTCACACAGCCAGTGAGTAGTAAACTCTGGACTGGAACACAGATCTATGGAACCCTAGCACCAAACCCTCATGCTCTGCACCCCACCCCCAGGAATCCACAACATTAATTTATTCATTTGACACATAGTTTTGAGATCACCTTATGTGCCACCTTGGGCTCGGAATGAAATGATATCATTCATTCATTCATTCATTCATACACACATTGAACAAGTATTTACTGAGACTGTGCTGGGCTCTCATGGGGATGGGCAGTAGAGGCAGTGGTCAAGCAAACGAACACAAGCTCATCTGTAAGCGGCCACTCATAAGAGAACTCATAAGAGAATTCTCTCATAAGTGAATTCATGGAGGGTTATTTTCTACATTTAATGGCACACAGTTAAAGCTTCTGAAATTTACTGTACAGTTTTAAGGGAACTGAAAGAAAAGGTAGACGTTTGTAGGAAAATGGATGCACCTTGAAACCATAATATTAAGTGATATAAATCAGACAAGCTTAAATAGTGCATGGTTTGTCTTACATGAAAACCCCAAAGTATAAATAATCTAAAGAGCAAAATAGAAGACAGATAATAGAAAAGAGGGAGCAAGATCTTTTACAAATGGAGGAGTGAAAGAGGGAGAGAGAGGTGGAAAGACTTAAGAACATGATCTTTATCACCAAACAACATATACTTACATTATTTTGTTTACATTATCTCTTTTTCCTTAGAATGTAAACTGTGTAGGAAGAAAAATTCTTCTGTTCACTGCTATTTCCCCACAGCTTAGAAAAGTTTCTAGCAGACTAGGTACTTAATAAACATCCTGAATAATAAATATGCTGAGAATCTTAGTTCTCCAACTGTCTCTGTTCTATGTCAAATAGCATGAAGACTGACTCTTCTCTCAGTCCTCATACTTTTTCATCTATGAGTTTTTTATCTGCAAAATGGGTGTAACAGCACTTCCCTCCCCACAGTGTACTGTGATAAATGAGATCGTGCATATGAGGCATCTGATGAATATCTTGGCATGTCAAAAATCCCCAAGAAATGGAAACTGTTCTTTATCACTGTGATATTGCTATTACTTGGCAGTGACCCAGGTTTCTTTGGCCACCAGCCTGAAGAACAAGCAGAGGCTTGAGGACAGGAATCATTCTGCTCCTGTGGTGTGGAGCTTGCATGTATATGGGTAAGTGTTGGTGAAAGTCAGATACAGGTACTCTGTACCAACAAGCAGAAAAATCGAGGAGCAACTCCATGATAGTAATTCAAGGACCACATGATATTTGCTGATGAAATGTTACTTTCAGTCTTCTTAAAATCTTAAGGCTGTCTTAAAGGGAATGTGGAGGAAGGTCTGAATTCTGACCTAACAAAGTATTTCCTAAGCAAAGTTGGGGGTGGGGACGCCACCTACTCTGCCCTCTGAGAACCCTGATTTGCCTCAGTGCTGGAACCATGACACACACAATAAGTGACTTACAGATCTATCAGCCATGGCTCTGGGATCAAGTCCAAGATTCGGTATTCAGGCTGAGACCTTATTGCAGCCTTTTGTGAATATAGGCAGATACTGGCATTAAAAAAAACCAAACATATACAACAAACCAATTTTACAAACCAACATATGCTGTATTTCTAGAGTTCTGGACTCATCTTCATGATTCAAATGAGGAAAACAGTGATTAGATACTTGGAAATACAATGAAGCTTCTCAGGAACATTTATATATTTTGTAATATTATGTCAGTACAAGGTTGGGCTCCAAAGCTTCCAGAAGAAAAGGAATCGACCACCAACTGCTCCAACATGTCTCTAAGAAAGGTTCCCCTAGACTTGGCCTCAGCCATGACCACACTGGATTTATCCTACAACCTCTTATTTCAAATCCAGAGTTCAGATTTTCATTCTATCTTCAAACTGAGAGCTTTAATTATGTGCCATAACAGAATCCAACATCTGGATATCAAGATCTTTGAATTCAACAAAGAGTTAAGATATTTAGATTTGTCTTACAATACATTGAAGATGGTAACTTGGTACTCACTGGCAGCTGTCAGACATTTAGATCTTTTCTTTAATGACTTCAAAACTGTGCCTATTTGTGAGGAGATTGGTAACATGACAAAACTGGAAACCCTAGGTTTGTGTGGAGCAAAAATACAAAAATCCGATTTCCAGAAAATTGCTCATTTGCCTCTCAGTGCTGTCTTCTTTGGGCTGAGAAGTCTTTCTCACTATGAGGAAGGTAGCCTGCCTCTCTTAAACACAACAAAACTTCATATCATTTTACCAATGAACATACATTTCTGGGTTCTTTTGTGTGATGGACTCAAGACTTCCAGAGTATTACAAATGACAAATATAGATGGCAAAAGCCAGTTTTTAAATTATGACACTGAATGTAATCTTGTGTTGGAGAATGCCAAGACGTCTACTCTGTTATTTAATAAAGTTGACTTACTCTAGGATGAGCTTCTCCTCATCTTCCAGTTTGTTTGGGGTACATCAGTGGAACACTTCCAGATCCAGGATATGACTTTTGGAGGTCAGAGTTACCTCGACCACAATTCCTTTGACTATTCAGATACAGTAATGAGAACTGTAAGTCTGAAGCATGTACGTTTCAGAGTTTTTTCTGTTCCACAGGTAGAATCTACTTACTGTTTACAAAAATGGATATAGAAAACCTGACGATATCAGATGCAAAAATGCAGCATATGCTTTTTCCTAATGCTCCTAAAAGTTTCTGGTATTTAAATTTTGCCAATAATAACTTAATGGATGAAATATTTAAAAATCCTATCCAGTTGCCTTACTTGGACACTCTGATTCTGAAGGCCAATAAACTGGAGACGCTTTCCTTAGTGAGCTGTTTTGCTAACCACACAGCCTTGATGTACTTGGATCTAAGCCAAAATCTAATGCAGCAAATAAATGATGAAAATTGTTTGTGGCCAGAAACTTTGATCAGTATGAACTTGTCATCCAATAAATTTGCTGATTCTGTTTTCAGGTGCTTGCCCAGAGGTATTCAAATTCTTGACCTGAGCTATAACAAAATTCAAAGTGTCCCTAAGGAGATTATTCATCTGAAGTCTTTACGAGAGCTAAATATTGTGTTTAATTTTCTAAATGATCTCCCCGGGTGCAGTCATTTCAGAAGACTCTCGGTTCTGACCATTGAAATGAACATAATTCTCAGCCCATCTCTGGGTTTTTTCAGAGCTTCCAGGAAGTTAAGACTCTAAATGCAGGAAGAAATCCATTCCAGTGTACTTGTGAATTAAGAGATTTCATCCAGCTTGCAAAGCATTCAAAGGGCATGATGGTTGGATGGCCAGGTCCATACAACTGTGAATACCCTTTGAATCTGTAGGGGACTCTATTAAAAGATGTTTATCTCTCTGAGCTGTCTTGCAATACAGCTCTGTTGATTGTCACCATTGTTGTCCTCTTGCTGATTCTGGTGATGCCAGAGGCTATCTGTTTCCTCCGCTGTGATGCTCTCTGGTATCTCAGGATGCTGGGTCGGTGGATGCAGACATGGCACCAGGTTAGAAAGGCAGCACAAGAACAGTGGAGGAGAAATGTTCAATTCCATGCATTTATTTCTTACAGTGAACATGATTCTCTCTGGGTGAAGAGTGAATTGATCCCCAATCTAGAGAAAGAAGATGGTTCTGCCCTAATTTGTCTTTGTGAGAGAAACTTTGACCCTGGCAAGAGCATTACTGAAATATCATTAGCTGCATGGAGAAGAGCAATAAGTCCATCTTTGTTTTGTCTCCCAGTTTTGTCCAGAGTGAGTGGTGCCATTATGAACTCTACTGCCATGAAAATTGTGATCACAGCATTCTTCTCTTGCTGGAGCCCATCCCGCTGTACTGCATCCCTACCCGCTTTCCTAGGCTGAAAGCTCTCATAGAAAAGAAAGCATACTTGGAATGGCCCAAGGATAGGCATAAATATGGGCTTTTTTTGGGCAAACCTTCACACAGCTATTAGCACTAATTTAGTAGACAGCAGAGAAATGCGTGAACTACAGACATTCACAGAACTGAGTGAAGAGTCCCGAGGTTCTGCTAATAAGGACAGACTGTGTATAAAGTACCAACCCCCAGGGCCACTGGGGACCACATACATTGTTGGGATATAAGTGAATACAGCCTTAATGATGGCAATTTGGCAATATCTATTAAAACAAAAAATGAAAAAATTGTGTCAATTCCTAGAAGGATTTCTAAGATTGTATTCTCAGGAATGTCTGCACAAGTCTGGAAAGATATTTATCCAAGCATTGTTTATAATCATAAAGAATTAAAAAATCATCTCAAATGTTCATCAAATAGAGGTTGATTCCATAAAGTATGAAATATTACATAGCTATTCAAAAGAATTAGGTAGTTCTGTATTTACTGGTATAAATAAACTTACATTAATATGTTAGTTTATACAATGAAATAAAAGTATACAAGATTATACATCAATATACTGTATAGTGATAGTGATTTGGGTCTAGGAGATAGAATTACAGGAAACATTTAATTTCTATGTTGTATTTTCCTATAATGGTTGAATTGCTCAGAATTTCTGTTCCTTTCAGAACTGAGATACCATCCAAAATGCCCCATATGCTTGGTTTTGACTGTTAGGGTTCATAATCAGAGAAAATGAAGTTTGGGCGCATTGAATGTAATTTGCTTTGGTCCCTTGAGACACATACAGCATCTCCCTTCGTGCAGACCTGACAGGACACTTCAGCCCATGGAGTCTCAGCTTTCAGCCCTGGCTCCTCTGCTGAGCCAGGGGGAACCCGTGGAAGTGGGCACCTCAGGCTGTGTGATGTACTGGAGCCAGGGTAACACTTCTGACCATTTTCTGAAATTGACTCCAGATCTTGTGATGCAGGTTCCTTTTCCCTTTCTTGCTGTTTGTCAACCTGGGTCTTCTTTCATTTCCCCTCAGGAGACTGAACTCTGTATCTGTGTGGCTGAAGTCAGTCTGTGGATTCCTCAGGGGGCCTTGCCACTTTCTGAGCATCTCTGCAGACAAATGGCACTTTTTCCTGGATGTCCGTGGTCAGTTTGCTAAGGATGCTCTGTATTTTCTCAATATATATGGCAAAGAGGACTGCACGGAAAGGAAATTGTCATTCTTAGATTCTAAGCAGATGTAGAGGGAGGAAGACTTTGAAATCTAACTTACAGCAGATGTTTCCTAAGATTCACTCCTCTATCTACCATGAACCACTCGAGAAAAGCAAAGACTGGGGGTGTTTAAACTGAAAGAGAACTCACAGGTGATCAGCTATCATTTTTAATTTTGAAGGAGGAAATTGAGGTCTTAAATTTTAAATGACTCACCCAAAGCCCAAGGTTCTTAGTACCTTATATTTCTTGTGTAGGCTAGCCCTTTTCCTTCTGGTCTACATCAAAGTGACCTTGACCTGTTGCACTTAACTTGAATGATTTCCATCCTTTCATTACTGTTCTCAAGATCATAGCCATGGACTGAGCCCTTTGCACCATCTGCCAGTCTTCCCTAAAGCTGTTTGACATCTGGCTCTCTGCAGTCCTTCTCCACTGTCAGATACAGATCCTGTATCTGCTGCCTGAGATGCATCACTGAAACAACTCTCTTATTCTATTAGTTGCTGGAGAGCCTACTTTTCAAATCAGCCACCTTTGGTCCACAAGCCCAGTTTGTGTTCGCTACATAGAGGACAGAAGCAAGTGGGCCTGAGTTTCCCCTGGAGGTGTTGAAAGGGACGTCAATCTAGGGCTCTTCAAGGCCCCTGAGCTCAGTTTTCCATGTGTTCTGCTGGGACCCAAGCTGTACTGCTGGCCCTGATCCTCTAAGCCTGCTGCCGGCCACTTGAAGAAGTGCATTTGACCATGTGTGCTGAACTCCCCGCAGGGATGAGCACAATAAGTAACTCCTGATTGTGGATTTGGAGGAGGTCTATGAGTGGAAGTCGATTTCAATGGCCAGGTATTATGCCTATTCACAGACCAGGTAACCAAACAGCCACAAAACTGGGTGCACTCAGCTCCAGGTGTTCCAGGTGTTCAAGGGCAAAAGTGAAGCTAACATAGGGCCATTTGGGCTCAGGGTGAGGGAGCTTGGGTGAAGGGTTTTGCTCAGGACCGCTCCATACAGCAGCCTCATGTCTGCCTCCTCACAATGAGAGATATGATGTACAATAAAAAATACGGTGAATGTTTAATAATTTAAAAAATTTAAATATTATTATAGTAAAAGACACATTGCCATGAATCAGCTCGAAATGCTCCTCCTTACTTCAGACACATTTATCCCGCCATTCTTACCACTTTCTGAAGCAGCTCTGGAGATCCTCCTTCCTGAATGTCTTCAGTTGAGCTGTTGTGGCTGCCTTGGTGTCCCAAATGCATTCAAAGCATTTACCTTTTCTGGTCATGTTGACTTTGGGAAGGAGCCAGAAGTTGTAAGGTGCCAATAGAGTGAATAAGGTGTATGAGGACACACTAATATTTTTATGGGCCTGCCTTTCCATTGGATGGCACTTGGCAGCAGCATTCCCTGTATTTTTTTTTTTATCACACCTTGTAAAGACACTCACAAAAGAGGACTTTCAGATATGTTTCAGAAAGTGGCAAGAATGATGAGATAAATATGTTCAAAGTGAGGGGGAATATTTTGCTACATAAAAAGAATAACCTTCCCATCATACTCTGCTTCTCACCTAAAAATATGGCTTCTCCCACTAAAGGACAGCCTTCTTCCCATCATGCCTCTTTTCCCAGACAGTATGCTACCTCCTAACAACTAGTGATGACACAAGCCCCTCTTAGTGATGTCACAGGCTCCCCCAATCCCTAGCCACTACATCACTCAATCCCACCCCAGCTCCTATAAGCTCCACCCCAGTCCTATAAGAAGTGCTCCCTGTCTTGGCCATATTGCTCTCTCTCTCCTTTGTTTGGAGACAGGCCGGCAGGTCCTCCCTGTAATAAAGGCTTATTATGGGCCTGCCTTTTGGCTCTTTTACCCAACAGAGGGGAATTGAGTCTTTTACTGTAATAAATTTTTGTGTTTTTTAAATTTAAACATTCACTATAGTCTTTTTATTTCATCTCACCTCATCCTTGGCTGAAGAATAAGTCCAGTGGTGGTATCTAAGCTGCCTTAAAGTAGCCACTCTACCAAGAAATGCACATTCTAATAATCAGTTTGAAATATACATATGAAAATCCAAATGGAATAGATTCTAAATCCATTCATATTTTCCTAAGACACTGAGACATTCCCTTTGCCCTTTAAGTCATTTCTCCAGTCACATTCCCCCTGAAGACTTTCTGGACCATCTAGTTGAAAGTGAGTGTGAGTGTGCCTTACCCATTTTCCTTGCTGTCTTAGTTACTTTTCTCATTGTTGAGACAATATACCGGATTCCAAAAGTTAAAGGAGAAAAGGTTTATTTAGCTCACAGTTTGTAGAGGTTTCAGCCCATAGTTGGCTGGCTCCAAGGCAAGTGGGCGTGGCAGAGGGGCACAGCAGAGGAGAAATAGTTCATGGCAGGCAGGAGGAGAGCAGAGCAAAGGCAGAAAGTGACAAGCAGCAAGTGATAACAGCAGCCCTCTTTCCCTGGTATCACACCATGAATCAATCGGAGCATCACATCCTTAATCCCAGCATCACACACTCTAGATCCAGCCACCTCCAAAAAGCCCCACCTATGACCACATGAGGCTTTGGGGTATAGATCTAGACACAAGCCGTAACACTTGCTTTTTTAAAAATTCATTAATTTTATTGGTTCATTTTAGATATACAATATGGGCATTCATCATTGGGAATGTGTACCTTTACGTGATATATCGTGGTTCTTATTTTTCCCCATTGCTTTTTATTTCTCCATAGCACTTGCTGCTCTCAGAATTATAGTACCATTTTTCTGTTTATCTTGGCCATTCTCTGTCTTCTCCCACTAAAATGCAACTTTTAGAGCTAAGATTTTTGTTTATTTGCTTGCAGGTGTTGTCTTCTCTGCCAGGAACAGTGCTTGGCACATGGCCACCCCCACATTTTCTCTGAAGAAAATATTCTGTGGACCCCTTGCTGACCCCCAGCTCTTCCGAAGTCCAGCGGGGCTTCTGACATTGAGGCTGCCTACTTCAGTGTGAGCCTCTGTTGTAAGTCAGGGATACAGATTTTACTCAGCAGTGGACATCTTTCCCTGTGTTAAGTGTATTTTGCTGACACTTTCTAGGACTTGCCAGCACTGGCACGTTGTCCCCCCCAGCCCTCACCCACACACTTTCTATGACTCTTTACTTCCTTCTTAGGAGCTTCCTGATCTCAGGAACTTGCCGTTTAATTACCTCAGAGTCTGCAGATTATACAAATCACCACACGTGGAATGTATGGCTCCCACACCTCAGCCACAGCCCTGCCTTTGCTGCTGGGTTAGCTTCTCTAGGGGAAGTTGGGTATCACAGGCAAAGCCTCTGCCATGAGACCACATCACAGCACTTGGGGGCCTTCTGCGAATTTTTAAGCCCTTCTCAGGGCCTGGTGCTACCGGGTCTGGCCACATTCTCCACGATCCTCTACTTTGAACAGAAGGTTGACAAGCTACCCCGGAGTTCTAAAATATATGACCATGGGACCTTCTCAAAGATTGCCAGTCAGGCCCCCATTTAAGGTGGGCAGCCTCACAAGTAGATCATTCCTGCTGCGTGGAAGCCCTGGGATTGAGCACTGGAATGGTACTGACATAATGATTGGGAGTGACTCTCATACAGACCACAGATGACTTCAGGGCTCTGGCTACCAGCAGTCCACCCCAACCCTTTGACTCGAGCCACCAGTGTGGGCCTGCGTCCAACTGTTGTCTCAGCTGTGGTACCACTTCTGTCTTTAGTATTCAAGGGTGGTGGCAGGTGTGCTCCCCCGTGTCACTCAGCCTCTCCCACCAGGGCAGTAGCCGCCATTGATGCAACAGGGCAGCCGTGTACCAGCAGGGAGTCCTCCAACGATGGCTTTCACAACGGAGCACAACTGGCTGTCCGTACGATATCCTCTCTTGCCCCCACTGATGGGTTTTTTGGTACTTCCCCCACCAGCCTTAAGCTGTGCCTGGTGAGGGAAGGACACTTCCTGCAGGAGTGGGACTGCTCCCCTCTCTCTGTACACGGACCCCACACTGCACTTTCTGCTATTA